GCAACCGATCGTGATGTCATCGGCAGGGATGATGGGGCAGGGATACGGAGAACCGGGCGGGACGACGCGGGAGCAGGCAGCAGGCAGGGCAGGCAGGGCACGGAGGGGGACACAGGGCTGCCTGCTTCGGTCTCTGCTGCAGGCTTGAAAGGAGGGTGGGAAGTGTGAGTCAGGGCTCCTACTTCTATTTTCAATGCCTGGGGTGGGTAACGCTGCCTGGTGGGAATAGCAGCTCCGCTCCGGGAGGCACAGGGCGGCAAACAGACATCGGGACGGGGACGGGACTGGGGACACCCAGAGTGTCCCCTGTAATGCTGGGCTAATTGCACTCACCAACTCACAGGACGGATGCTGTCCCGAATTACACTGATAAAGTGCTCTGAGGAAGAGGGGCCGCAGAAGCACCCAGATTTAATGACTGCCCCCAAATCAACCTCCCCACATCCACTGCCCACCTGCATTTCTCTGCCGGCTGTGGCCTCTCCCTCGTGGCTTTCCACAGCCACCAAGAGCCCCGGGCACGGTGACACCCGCGCTGCGGAGCTGCCGGATCAGTGCAGCAGCTCCTCGGGTCTGCCCTGCATGCCAGCATCCCTCGACAGCTCGGTGGTACTTATTTTTCCATGCTTGAAGGTGCGTATGATCCTTCCCACAGCCGTTTCGTCCCCGTGTTGCATTTCAGCTGGGAACCACCGTCACACTTTGTAGTGAAAGCCCTCGCTCGGGGTCGATGCAGCAGGAGCCACGGCGTTAGCTCATCTACTGCGCTTCCTAGTATGCTATAGGGTATGGAAAACAGAATAGTTCAGGGCATGAGTAAGTGTCTTGAGAGTTTTGTTCTGAACTTTGCAATAATTGTGCAATTTCTTAAGAATGGGTTTAAATCCCTGCCAGTCGCGGGTGTGCCGGGAGACCCACAGCCCCATGCCGGGGACACGGCCACGTGGGAGCTGCTGGGCCCCAAGGTCCTCACCTGCTACCCGGGCTTTCTTCCATCAAACCTGCAGCAGCAAATAAACCAGCATTGCATAATTGTGCCCGGCCATGGCCCTCCAAGTACTGTTTGCTCAGCTTATTAGTTTGAGCCTTTTGCATTTCTCAGCTCTCCTGGGTTGAACTCTGTTGATAAGAATAATTTTTCTTCCTGCGTCCTGCATTCTTCCCGCATCCCACATCAGCCCCTGCTCTCCCTTTCGAGCCCTCCTGGAAAACAAGCACTGGAAAACAGCACTTTTATTTTGATGTGCCTACCAGAAGGTTTTCTTTTTTTTGGCTTTTACTAATCCCACTGTTAAATCCACTGCACAGTCATTTAGGCTTGCTGGGATTTAGCAGGCACTGTCTGTTAATACTGCAGAGATCGGTATTGTCATTTTTTGGTTGTTGTTTTCAAAGCAATAACCTGATGTGGCTTTCATATGATGTGACCTGTGTCTGAGAGAGAGCAGAGCTTTCAGTGGCGCTTGGGGAAAGGATTTCACCCCAGCCACGTCAGCATGGATGGGCAGCATTGGACCCATGCCGTTCACCACCCATCCCGCCCTCCCTTCCCGCCACGCTCCCAAATATACTCCCACGAATAAATCCAAAAGACTGGCTTTGCAGGGGCAAACTTTCCCTGTTTGGAAACAAAGTTTGAGCAACTTCTCCCCTTCACTGGCCCAGTTGGGGGTTCCTATTTCAGCATCTCCAGGGCTGCCTTTTCCATGGCTGGTTTGTCCCTTACTGTACAGGGAATTGGGCATCAGGGCAAAAAGTCTGTTTCCTGCTGCTTCTAATTTCTGCCCCTCGATAAGAAACCGAAGCAAAACCCTTTGCAGGGTGGCTGGAGGGCCCAGCCTGGCCGAGCGGCTAAGAATAGCCTGGCAGCGGGATCTGAAAACTCCACAGGTTTGTTGGGCATTATTTTTTTTTTTAAAAAAAAGCGCTGATCCAGCTCCCAGCTCTGCCCCGTGTCTGCCTGCGGGCTGGGGGCTGCTGGCTTTCCCCTTTGCTCTCAACCTCCAGCCCCTGCCCCATATTACAGTAGCGCTGCTGCAAAGGAGAGAGAGAAGGAAAGCCTTGGGGAGGGGGCTGAGGGATGCTCCCACCGAGCTCGTGGTTGTCTGCTTTTGCCTCCCAAGGAGGCTGAGACCCCCGCAAGGAGACCCCCCCGCAGGAAGCACCAACACCCCCAGGCTCCCGGCAGGACAGCAGTGCCGGGGAAAGAGGAGATGCAAGTAAATAACAGGAGGGCAGCGTTCGCCCCTGCTTTTCCAAGCCCCACGCGGGACCTGCTGCAGACAGGAGTGTTTGTCAGCAGCATCTTGAGAACATTCCTCCCTCCCGCGCAAGGCATTTCCTGGTGATAACACACTCCTAAGTAATGATCTCGCAGCATTATCCCTATTAAAGGGTCATTCGGGGAAAGTGTGATGGAAATTAGAAATTACTCGGGTTTGCCAACAGTATTTAACTTTCAAGCAGCTCTTAATTAGAAGCCAGGAGCCATTTATACAACCACTGATATTTGCATAAGAATCTGCATATAAAACCCAGCAACTGGAAAGATCTAGTGATTTTTTTTTCAAGTGGCAAAGCAGCGTGCCTGGGTTGGAGAGCGCCAGGCAGGACCCTGGGTTGCAGTCCGGGCTCTGCCAGTGATTTTAAGTGTGGCCTCAGGCAAGTGATTTCCTCTCCCAGTGCTCCAATTTTTCCATCTGTAAAATGGAAATCAGCATGTGTCCGAACTTTCTAAGTGGCAGCTTGTGTTTGCAGAGGGCTCTGGCATTGCCAGGCGAGAAACCTTGGAAAAGAAGGCAAAGGAGTCCCTGCACCTGCAGCCCGCCGCTCTCCGGGGATCAGGAGCTGCTCCTGAGTAACCTGCAAATTGGGGTTACGGCAGAGTTTCTCTTCAGCTGAAAAACTCCTGTGTGCATCTAGGCTAAAAGCCAAAGTCCGAAAACGAGACTGAAATACCTCCGGGTTGCTCAGTCCTTGCTCTCACTGCTGGTTTGGTGGGAGATTTGATGATGGGTTCCCGTTTTAGCTCCTCGCTCCTTTTTCCCTGGCTGGCGTTGGGTGTCCAGCAGCCCAGAAATGCGGGTGCCCGTCTCTGCACAGAGCGAGGGCGGAAAGTCAGAGTCGAGCTCCCGACGGCGGATGCTCCTTGCTGAAAGCAATTGGCCAAAACCAGCCCCGAAACCCTGATTATTTTGTTGCTGCGCCCTCGAACTGGCTTATTCCTGGGATGCCAGCAGTAGTGGTATGGCTGGGAAATGCTTAACCAGCCGGAAAACTTCTCGCTATTGCTCTGGTTAACTATTCTCCTGCCCAGCTCTTGCCTCCCTCTCCCCCCTCTGTCCCCCCGCCCCCTTCCTCTCCTACCCCCTCCCCGGGGGCTGCCTGGGCATTTGCTCCCTCCATTGAGCATCGCCCTCCTCTCTCTTTGCTCGCATCTGGACAAGGGGGACGTGACCGCACTCAGCCTGCCCTCCACCACCGGGCACGGCGACGCTGACGGCACCGTCTGCCTGGACGTCCCCGATGGCACCCCTGACCCTCACAGGACGAAAGCTGCCATCGAGCACCTGCAACAGAAGATCCTCAAGATCACCGAGCAGATCAAGATCGAGCAGGAGGCTCGGGATGACAACGTGGCCGAGTACCTGAAGCTGGCCAACAACGCGGACAAGCAGCAAGCTTCTCGCATCAAGCAGGTTTTTGAGAAGAAGAACCAGAAGTCGGCGCAGACCATCGCGCAGCTGCACAAGAAGCTGGAGCACTACCACAAGAAGCTGAAGGAGATCGAGCAGAACGGCCCTTCCCGGCAGCCCAAGGATGTCTTCCGGGACATGCACCAGGGTCTCAAGGACGTGGGTGCCAACGTTCGCTCCAGCATCAGTGGCTTTGGCGGCGGCGTGGTGGAGGGCGTCACGGGAGGCCTCTCGGGTCT